GCACTATTGCCTCTTCTGCAGAGGCTTAATTGACTCTCCCCTGATTCAGCTGGACATGTTGCAACTTCTGCAATGCGAATCTCCCCCCCTGCAATGGAAAAACGCGCTCAAAGCATTTTCCTCAGGTCTGGAAGACTTGGTGGATGCAATGCATGGAAAATAGCACTTGCGCAGTGCAATCGCCATGAATATATTACTCTCATGCAATACTGTATACATCAGCTCTCACCTCGGGTCAAAGGGGCTCTTCTTGGTCCTTGGCTTCTTGTCCTTCTTGCTCTTCTTCTTTTTCTCTGTGGCCTTGGGAGGTGAAGGCGGCTCAGTCTCAGAGATATCTGCTGCACTCTCTTCAGCTGCATTCGTTGCATCCTGCTCCTTCATCTGCTCTGCAACTTCTGAGATCAGCTGCAGAGCTTTCTCTTCAGCAGCTTTCTTTGCGCTTTCAGCTGCAGCCCTTGCCTCCTGAGCAGCCTTCCTCTTTGCAGATGCCTCAGCAAGCTTGGCCACTGCTTCTGCGAGCTGCTTCTCCTCAGCTGCTGCCTTTTTCTCCTCAGCTGCAGCCTTTTTCTCCTGCTCAGCTGCCAACTGCACAGCATCTGCTGCCATCTTTTCTTCTGTTTCCTGGGCCTGCATCTTTTCGAAGTTGCTGGCTTCCTCTTTGGCCTCCTGCTCGCTCTTCCCTTGGCTCAGCAGGTAGTTCACCAGCTGCTGTGACTCCTTCTTCTCAAAGTTGGCCACCTCCTTCTTCTCAAAGTTGGCCACCTCCTTCTTCTCAAAGTTTGCCACTTCTTGCTTTGCCTCCTGCTCGCCCTGCTGCAGCTCCTGCCGCTTGATCTTGCTTTCTTCTTCCCAGCTTCCATGCCACTTCCTCTTTTGGCCATACCCGCAGTTGTCGCACCAGCCCCTGTTCCTGTAAGCTTTGGACCCCACACCTTCTGCACCAGCCTTTCCAGCTGGCTGCAACTTTCCCACCATCAGCTGAGGAGGCTGGGTTGGGGTCCGAGGCTTCACCAGGCTGCAGGCTTTGCAGCAGCTCCTGCACTTTTGCCCAGCCTCCTTGCCCTCCTTGGTCCAGCTGGCTGGCCAGCAGGTTCACAATGGCTTTTTGCACAACCTTCCTTTTGGCCAGCCTCCTGTCCCTGCTGTTGCCTTGCTCAAGGTCAAGATCTCCAGCTGCATCATCTGACGCCCAGAATCCTGGCCCAGAGCTCAAAGCCTGCAGCAACTTGCTGCACATCTCTTGTTCGTCAAGCTGCTGCTGCTGCTGTGGCAGCTGCTGCGGCAGCTGCTGCTGCTGCTGCGGCTGCTGCTGCTGCTGCGTCTGCAGCTGATGCATCCTCAAAAGCTGCATTCGGACAGGCCCCTGGCCCAGCCCTTGCTGCAGCTGGGCTTGCAGCATGGCTTGCAGCTGGTCCACAGTCATGATCCCAGGCTGCATGTTCATGCTTCTCACCAGCAAGTGTTTTACCTGCAAGCTAATCTCAGCTTGAGCCATGGAACTGCAGCACCAACAATTAATGTGTGTGTGCTCAAACGCTTGCAAATCAGCTCATGCAAGATATTCCTGCAGCCTCTTCTGCAGAGGCTTGCGCGCGCACCCTCTTCTGCAGAGGCTGTGCTTTGCTTTCCCCCTCCCCTTCTGCAGGGGAATTGCTTTTTCAGCAGAGGATTTGCTGTTTGTTCTCTTCTCCGCCCCTTCTGCAGGGGCTTTCTGGCATAACAAACTTCCACAAAAAACAAGGTTTACTTGGTGCACCTCTTCTGCAGAGGCTAGCCCTCTAGCAAGGATGAATGTGTTGCATGGATCCCTCTGATGTCTTTACGTGTGAGACAACCCCAAGCTATAGATAGCATGCCAAACTAATCATGCTTATTCTTCAGCATCTTCCAAACTTTGTGCTTGGCCAGGAGCCTGATCTCCTCTTCTTTGGCCGTGTCCCCTGGCCTCAAATGAAGATCGTGTAGGACTTTGGATGCCAAGGCATCCAATTCCACCTTGTGGATTTCCTTGTGCCCAAAAGCAAAAATCTGGCCCACGCACTTCCCATTGTTAAACTTCTTAACACCAAACTTGTTGCCATTCTTGTAGTACTCCTTTCTGTAGTGGAAAGGGCTCTTCTTGCCATGCTCTGGCTGCTTCTTTGTCTTTAGCTTTGGGCTTTTGCGGCTTGAGGAGCTCGAGGAGCATGGCTCTTTTTCCTCTGCGTCTTGGCCTTGCTGCTTGCTTGCAGGCACTGGGGTGTGTGGTGCTTCACTTTGGAGATCTTCTTGCAAACCCTGAGCAGGGCATGGCTCATCCTCAGCAGGCCCTGCCTCACCCTCAGCTGGCCCTGCCTCACTGGTCAGCATGGCAATGAGGGACTTCACTTTGGCAAGTGAACCAGATGATGACTTGGCAACCAGCTGCTGGCACTTATCTGTGTTTTCTTTGCCCTCCTCAAGTGGTAGAGCATGGTAGAGATCCTGTTAAACCTGCTTCCAGCCCAGAGTAGATTCTTCAAGCTGGTTTTGTTCAACTCAGGTTCCAAGCTCACCGCCTTCAGGATTGAAGCTCTCACCTGGGTCAGCAGAAGCTGGCCTTCAGGCTGAACCAGCAGCAAGCTCTTCAGCAAGTCAAAGTGCATGGCTAAACTTTCTCCATCTGCAGCCAAGTTCTATCATGGGGGGGCGCAGCCCCCCCCCAACCCCCCCGCCTATGTTTAACGGAGCCCGACGTTCTTCGTTGTTCTTGTTCAGTTCTATAATGGGGGGGGCGCGCCCCCCCAACCCCCCCGCCTATGTTTGGCGGGCTGCGCCCCCCCGCCTCTGTTTGGCGGAGCCCGGAGTTCTTCGTGGTTCTTGTTCAGTTCTATAATGGGGGGAGTGGGGGGAGGCTGCGCGCCGCCCAACCCCCCCGCCATGTTTGGCGAAGCCCGACGTTCTTCGTTGTTCTTGTTCAGTTCTATCATGGGGGGGGCTGCGCCCCCCCCAACCCCACCCCCCCCCCCGCCTATGTTTGGCGAGCCAGACGTTCTTGTTGCTCTTGTTTCAGCTCTTTTAAACATGGGGGGCCCCGCCTATGTTTGGCGGAGCCCAACGTTCTTTGTTGTTCTGTTCAGTTCAAATAACCTACTGGGGGGGCGCAGCCCCCCCGCCAACCCCCCGCTAATGTTTAACGAGCCCGACGTTTCTTCGTTGTTCTTGTTCAGTTTTCTAATAATGGGGGGCGGCAGCCCCCCCCCAACCCCCCCGCCTATGTTTGGCGGGCTGCGCCCCCCCGCCTCTGTTTGGCGGAGCCCGGAGTTCTTCGTGGTTCTTGTTCAGTTCTATAATGGGGGGAGTGGGGGGAGGCTGCGCGCCGCCCAACCCCCCCGCCATGTTTGGCGGAGCCCGGAGTTCTTCGTGGCTCTTGTTCAGTTCTATAATGGGGGGAATGGGGGGAGGCTGCGCGCCGCCCAACCCCCCCGCTATGTTTGGCGAAGCCCGACGTTCTTCGTCGTTCTTGTTCAGTTCTATCATGGGGGGGGGCTGCGCCCCCCCCAACCCCCCCCACCCTATGTTTGGCGGAGCCAGACGTTCTTGGTCGCTCTTGTTCAGCTCTATCATGGGGGGCCCCGCCTATGTTTGACGGAGTTGTTCTTGTTCAGTTCTATAATGGGGGCAGCCCCCCCCCCAACCCCCCCGCCTATGTTTGACGGAGCTGCGCCCCCTTTCCCGCTTTGGGATTCGAATCCCGAATGATTGGGATTGGCGACTCCCGTTTTGGGATTCGAATCCCGAATCCCGAATCTCGAACTTGGGATTGGGATTCGCAGATCTCGTTTTGGCATTCGAATCCCGAATCCCGAATCCCGAAATTGGGATTGGGATTCGCGAATCCCGTTTTGGGATCCGAACCCCGAATCCCGAATCCCGAAACGAATCCCGTGTTGGGATTCGAATCCCGATTCCCGAATCCCGAATCCCGAAACTGGGATTGGGATTCGCGAATCCCGCTTTGGGATTCGAATCCCGAATCCCGAAATTGGAATTGGGATTCGCGAATCCCGTTTTGGGATTCGAATCCCGAATCCCGAATCCCGAAATTGGGATTGGGGTTCGCGAATCCCGCTTTGGGATTCGAATCCCGAATCCCGAAATTGGGATTGGGATTCGCGAATCCCGTTTTGGGATTCGAATCCCGAAGCTCCAATCCCGAAACTGGGATTGGGGTTCGCGAATCCCGTTTTGGGATTCGAATCCCGAATCCCGAATCCCGAATCCCGAATCCCGAAATTGGGATTGGGATTCGCGAATCCCGTTTTGGGATTCGAATCCCGAATCCCGAAACTGGGATTGGGATTCGCGAATCCCGTTTTGGGATTCGAATCCCGATCCCCGAATCCCGAATCCCGAAACTGGGATTGGGATTCGCGAATCCCGTTTTGGGATTCGAATCCCGATCCCCGAATCCCGAATCCCGAAACTGGGATTGGGGTTCGCGAATCCTGTTTTGGGATTCGAATCCCGAATCCCGAGAAAAAATTGGGATTGGGATTCGCGAATCCCGTTTTGGGATTCGAATCCCGAATCCCGAATCCCGAAACTGGGATTGGGATTCGCGAATCCCGTTTTGGGATTCGAATCCCGAATCCCGAAATTGGGATTGAGATTCGCGAATCCCGTTTTGGGATTCGAATCCCGAATCCCGCCAGGCGGGGCGATCTCCGGATCGCCACTCCAACTGGAAGTTCCAGTCAACAAACAGGCAGCAGATATTATTTTGACGCACTGGTGCGTAGAGTGCGCACAAGTTACGTGGAACACAGTTTCACTGCCAAACGTCGACCGTTTTTGTCGCTCCGAGTCCTAAACAAATCTTAAGGCAAAGTGGACGCATTCCAGAAACACTTCTACATCTCAGGAGACGATGGGAAAATCACATTTCCAACTGGGGGTTTTCCTCAACACATGGCATATTGAACGGACGTGTGCACGCGAGCATGCATACACAGCAAGCTTTGCAATGCTGAGGCATGGGCGCCACACAGCCCTGCACTTCCTCTTCGCTGGTTCCCTCTGGAGCGCAAACGATGTCAATCAGCAAAGGCGGCGAGCACTCGATGTTCACAACCAGGAAATCACAAAGGAGCTGGCGCGAGCTGTCCACAGCTATCCGAAAGGCCAACGTCCTTGGCTGGCTGGCAGCCACGGGCTTGATTCCGCAATGTTGCAACCCTGGCCGTGAGTGCTTGCAGCTCACATTTCAAGGACCATCCACATCCAGTGTGGTCGGCTAGGAAAAGAAAAGAGACATCGCGCCAGAGCATGCAACACGAACTAATAACTCTCCACAAGGAATGCGCAGGCCTCCAAATGTGCTGGATGCTCTTCACAAATCGGGTTGCGATGCTTGGTGCTTCTTGCGATAGGTTCCAGCGCTTGGCCCAATACCACTGCCATTCTGTAGCTCTCCGCAGCTCTCGTTCTGGCCCTTGTTGCCATGTGGAAACGCGCGGACATGCACCCTCTACCTTGGGAACCAGTTTGCGCATTTCAGCGCCGACTCACTCTAACAAACACAACACTTCAAGGCAAGCTAAAGCACAGTATATACCTCAAAGCCAGCCAAAAGCGGACTGGCTGAGCCGGGCACCGCGAAGCGTTTACAATTATTGGATAGCAAGCTCGGGCAACCTGGCACGCTTCTCAAAGGATAAGAAAACACAAAAGGCATCCTCACCTCCCTCAAGAGCTTCTCCTTGCCTCGATGCCTTGAAAGTTGAGGACAAATGTTTTGCCAAATTGCTGGTCAAATTAGCTTCGGCCAGGCAGCTCGTTGGGTGGGAGCATGAGGTGGCCCACGTGCTCTGCCCCAATTTGCAGCGAGAATGGTGGCGAGGGCGCCTCGATGTGCAAGGGCAAGTCTCCTGTGAACACAGGAGGAAAAAACAAATCAAAAAACAACTCGGGTTGCCCGGCTCCGTCCAGGCAATCATTAACGGTCAATGCGGCGACTGCAAGCCCAAGCTCACACAGGGTAATACTCCAATCACCAGTTGGAACTGAGTGCACGCCAAATTGGAGACCCGAAACAGCTAGCATGCCTGAGTGGTGGTGCTTGGCAAAAGGCAGCACAGCCCATCGAATCTGTGTAAACAGAGCCAGCTAAAATTGAGCTCATTAAACAAACGCGGGGTCCTTTGGAGATATTGCGCAGCAAAAGATTTCGCGTATTGCCTCCACCAGTAAATCGGAGGTGTCTGGGTACAGCATCCGCTAAGTGATGCGCCATTTGCTGCAATTCGCGAAGGTAGCGGTTGCAGCTCTCCCAGTCACAATCAGTGATCAACACTTTGGCCCCTTTGGGGCAAACGGCAAAGAAATGCAATCTGTAGACTGATGATTGGATGAGCTATCTGCTGTAATGTTGAGAAAGTACAAATGAGGTAGCAGCCAGATTCAAGGTGTCGGGTTCTGTTCTGTCAATCCTCCGAATTGCCATCCAAGGGTATTCCTCCATGGGCTGTTGAAACTCTTAGATTCTAGCTTCACCATCTCACATGAGCCCACTTGACAGCTCTGACGTTACGTTCCCATCAGGAATTCTCATTGGAGGCAGCTCGGCCTTGAGCTGCAATGGGCGAAGCGGAACTTAGACAGCCGGCTGCTCGTTGGGGTCCGGGCGAGGTTTGCAACTGGGTCCTGTTCTGCCTTCTTGCTGGTTTCTGCACCTCAAGGAATTCCGCCTTCAGAAGAAAAGCGAGGGCCTTCAGAACAGCGAGGCAATAAACGCCAGACCTCTCGTGTGTCCGCACGGCTTAGCATGTTTACACCGTTCTCATTTAATGCACAAGCAAGTCTGTTTGTAGCTGGCCCGATCGCCATGGCAAGAACATGATCCTTCCTCACATCCACGAACCACTGTTGGATTGCTTGTGCAAAGTTTTACCAGCACCCAACTAAAAAGCTCTTCCATTTTTTTTTTGGGGGGGAGGGAGGCACTGCTATCTTAGCATATTGCCTGCGAATCAACAAGCTGCAACATGTCATTCCTATGAATCTGATCTTGTGGCTTGTCTAACCTAGCGCCTGGCACAACTCAAGAGCTGTACGCACGGAGATGCATGACGTTTACGCCCTGGAAATTCAAAGATGCTGAAGCACACTGCCCCCCCTTTTCTTTCGGTGCATTAGCTGCACACTGCGGCTGCCACATCTCCTTTGGAGTTGTGCCAAGCAAAGTGAGTGGGAATCTCTTGCAGTGTTGTTTCTTATCAACCACCACCGTCCCATCCACAAACATTTTCCATTGTTGTGGACCAAACGGTACCCCGTTAAAACCTGCAAGGGCTGTTGGGCCCCTGGGCTGGCGGTGCAGAACTCATGCGCACCAGCCAGAAGATCAATTCTAATAAACAGCCCCAAAAATGCCACAAGGGAAAAGTGCAAGATTGCTGTGGGCAGCCCAGCGGCACAGGGCAAGCTGAATTCATTTTGCAAATTGCAGCACCGCAACGCATACCTGCTCTGGGTCATGCAACGACTAGATTCGACTTGGCAGTATCATCCAGCGCTGCTCCAAGAGTCGACTCGGGGACTAAAAGGTACTGCATGATCTTTGCCACCTGCCTGCGGAGCATCCACAAATCGATGGCCTTGGCAGCGCCACGGAGCTGAATGCAGCCTTCGAGGAACTCTTCAGGCTCGATCTGATAATCCTCGTTGTGGTCAAGGCTGCAAAACAGTGTCCAAGCATCAGTGGCGCCGATTTCAAGGGCCTCGAAGAGTACACGAACTTCTTCGTCTTCGAAGTGCTTCTCGAATTGCAGGAGGCTCAATTTCCCGCACTGGTCATCGTCCATCTTTTGAAACAGCTTTGAAACGCTTTCCTTTAAGTGCTGCTTGTCCATCAGCAAACTCTGCACAACCATTTCCTGGTCTCGCTCGGCGCCTTTGATGGCCGATTGGCAAAACCTCGCTTGACGCTTGGCATCAATTGGCTGGCTGTTCAGCACAACCAAAAAGAACCTCAAAAGGCATCGTTGTTTTCGATATATTTGAACACCATTGGGTTGGGTCTCTATCTAAAAAAAATGCCAATTCAGAGGGAAGGAACACCCCTGTCATGACCTCAGTGGGCAAAGTTTCGGTCTGTGACCTCCTGTCCTCTCGTATGCACACAGCAAACTGCCAGTGAACAAACAAACCGCTTCTTGTAGCCACCCCGTTTGCCAAGATTCATTCAGGACCGCGAAGCAGCAAAATGCCTCGGCCAGAGTTATGAACAACAAAACACAAGTTTTGCTTGTTGATAGGGACAATGAAGGAGAACCAACAAAGCAAAAAGGTTCAAAAGGCAAGCTAAGTCTGGCAATGATGCAATGTACGAGGTGAACAAATACACCCAAACCAAGCTGATGTGATTCAACGCTCTGGCTGCCTCTACCCATGTCAACCCCCCTGATATTGACATGAAGAGGGTCTGCGATGAGGCGTGCAAGTTCCCGAAATATTGATCGAGCATTGTGTTGGCCTCGCTGCCAGGGCTGTCTACAATGTAGTTGTTTGCAACATCTGTAAGCAAAATGCCAAAGACATAGATGATCAGTGCAAGCAGCAGCATCGCCCAAAACAGGGACTTGAGAGTATTCACAATAGAGAATACAAGTGTGCGCAAAGAGCGGAAGAACCGCACCACCCTGATGACGCGAAAGATGCGGGTAATCCGAGTCATGCGCAAAATCCGCAAAATCCGGAGATTGCTGCTGGAGCCTGCGACCTGCTCATCTTGCGCAACCACCTCTATGATGCACTCAAAGACTGCAGTGGCCACCAGGACGACATCAAACCAATTCCAAGCCCAGTGCAAGGACCAAAAGAACCTGTGGGGGCCATGGGCCACCAACTTGATGCTAAGCTCAGAAATGAATAGAACGGTGTACCCGAACTGCACCACTAAGAGCGGGCCGGGCAGGGTGAGTGTACGCTCACGAGCCTCCCACTCGATGCTGATGCCGATGAAAATGGAGTTGCTGGCAATCACCGCGGCAAAGAACGCCTCGAAGAGCCAGGAAGCTGCCACTCTTTGGGCGGCCCGCCTCACCTCCTGTGAAAACATATTTTGACATTCATGCATCAGAACGCAACAACCAATCAGCCTTTTCAACCAGCCGCCCATTGCAAAACAACTCACGCTTGCATCTCGTATGCACCACTCACTCCAGCCTTACAACTCCGCACATTCAACTCGGACACTGGGGAACAATGGGAAAACGTATGCTTTAGTGAAGGTTCCAGCAAACTGTTCCACACGGTTGACGGGCCGTATGACTTGATATACCTGAAAACATTGACATTGATAGTTGGTTTCCTCCGGCCTAGGTTCTGAACAAAACGCTTGTTGGTGGAAACAGGCGCGATATGGGATGCTCTTGAGAGATGCTCGCCGACGCTGGGAATGCTGCACCCACAAGAGCAGTGGAATGGAACAGGGCAGTGCTTTCAATGTTGATTCATTCTCATTCGGAAGTCATTCGCCTCGCTTCGCATGTCATCTTGACATGGGATGCTGTGGTTGGATCGGACAATGCTGCATTCCCGACTTCGGAAACAGCCCTTCTTGAATTGAAGAACTCCTGCTTGTTAAATAGGCTGCTAGCGGTCACTCCAATAGCTTGCATGTCTACAAGCATTGCAATAGTGCTTCTGAAAGGAAACTGCCTTGAACCCTCTGAACCTGCCACCAACTGCCAAGAAAGGTGAGGCAATTCGATTAAGCACTCGCAGCCCCTTCCCACTGCCACCGTGCATGCTATCACACAAAGGGACTTATCACACCCCCGCCACTGCGTGAAAAGGATTGGTGTCAAACGCACTGCGCGTCAGGCTGGGAAAGCAAAGAGCCGAAAAGCCAGAAAGACATATTCCGGAAATGACTTCCAGGTGAAAGTTGGGCAAGGTCCGCTTGTTTTCATGACGTTGTTTTTCCCCGGCTCCTGCAAGAGCCCGGTCTTCTGCGTTTGCTCTTGGCTGGGCCGGGCTGCAGCTTGCAGGCGGCAGCTGACCTCCTTGGCCATCTCGTAGGCAGACTCTGACCTGCGGCATTGGGCATTTGGCTGCCTCAAGTGGGGAACACTCTCCGATTTCCTTTCTTTGGGGAACCCACGAGACGAAATCCTTGGATGGCCTGGGGCAAGATCCGGGATTGCTTTTGAAGAGGACTGTTTTTCACAAAGATGTTCCTCTCGAAACTATGGATGAGAAGCGGATCCCCAATACTACTATCATATCAGAATCATATCCAATGATGGGGATAGGTCAAGAGATGTGGTCAAGAGTCGCGCCTCTCCCTGCCAAGCAAAATGGACAGTTTCGTGCCAAGCCCAAGTGCCTAGCCATGAGTAGCTGGTGCACAAACGCGACTTGAAACGGACGTCTTCCACGCTCTTGTTTGCATTCTTGGGCTGCCCCCGCCTATCCAACCTCTCCATTGAGCCTTGCCGTACAGGCATTAGAGTGGAGCGTCGGCCGTGTGAAAGCGGCAAACTGTCACTACTAGCCATTCTTGAACCAGAACTTCGATTAGTGCTGCGGCTTTCCCTTTCCTTCGTCGACGGGCAAGAGTTCTCTGCTGGCGCTGGGCTTCCAAAGGAAGACTGCCACCACTGCACCTTCTGGACAAGTTCCTCGCGGTGCTTCTGCAGCAAAGACTCAATTTCGTCCACCAACTCGCATGGCGCTGCATTTGGTGCCGGCATCTTTGCGCCCTTAATTCACTTGCAGTAACATTCCCAGAGCCAAACTGCAAAGCATGAGAGTGCGGCTGGCGTGCAGCAGTCATATCCAAACACCTTGCCTACCAAAAGCCGCAAGCTGCCCATCCCTGCCTAGTGAAACCAACAATTGCAGGTTGCCTTTGTTTCCCGTC